TCATACGGAGAGGAAAGACAAAATTACAAGAAAAAAGACCCGTGCTACGTCTAAGTTGATCTATTTATGGTCGTTGAGCGCCACTTTAACAAACCCGACGCCGTCTTCGAGAGCTCGAACAATGGGTGCACTTAAATTAAAACGGACCGTAGTCAGTGCTACTGGATACTTTTTAACGGGAGATACCCTTATTTACATCCTTGGTACCCACCAGAATCTGCAAAGTTAGCAAAATGTAGCAACTCCAAGTCAGGACCGTCTTACATATAAACAAATCTGTATTAAGATTTAAAGTTTTAAGGTAGAATAATAAAATTAAAACATATATACGAAAATGTGTTGTTTACAACTCTATATCTTTTTAACCCTTGTTTATAAGTTGAAAATAAACTATAGACTTTTCATGCTCCCTGCGTACACAATACATTTAGTATACAACCTTTATTTCACGTACGTACAACGTCTAGTACATCCTAAACGTCGAACAAATAAATTCCTATTGTATTCGTAAATGTCTTCACCTGTTACGGAGCTGCGTTGGTTTCGTATTAGGCACTACCCTTTTACAATATCCCCTACAAATGCCTGGGGGCATTTCCAAACAAACACCATTAGACCCCTTGAATCCTTATACGAGATTCTGTGCCGAGTGAGTAAGTACCGGATTGTACCTTAAAAGTCTTTGCGCGCGCGATGTGATGACCGAAAGAAAACAAGAAACACGAAATAACATTCCAGGACCGTCTCAAGATATTATTTCTATGGATTCATATATTATATGAACTCTTTTGGTACTATTAATATCATTTGGCAACATTTAAAATCTAAATTAAGGTTATTTTTGTAACATTTATCGTATAACAATGTAACAAATACAATAACGTTCAACACAATATTTAGATATGTAAAATTTCACAATTCTAACGATAATATCATTAAAATACGTGATACATTTTTAGGAATATCTAGTTTATTTCATTTCTTGTAAATTGTCTTTTAATGACACTACATATTATATTCTCTTCGAATTGCTTCACAATTAAGAATATAAGTCTGCCATCCCCATACTAAAGCGGTTGTAACAGTACATGAAGTCAGTTGTGCAATAATTTACGGCATCTATCTTAATATGGAATTTGTGATAGTCTAAAATTAATAGCACTCTATGCGATGATAATGTTTTTGTGTGTTTAACAAACTGTTGAAGAAAATCAAATAATGTTTCAAATTGTATCCATCCTGAAGGATCCATATTATATAAAATGGTCATGATACCGCATTCGTGCAAATACGTATACTGCAGGAACGGTATTTCCTACAGCATTTACTGCAAAGGCCACAGTCATTAACTTACCCTTTTCTTTTAAAGTGAGTGTTCCAACCTGTCACATCCCATGTCTTACCGCCACTTTGTTCGGTCTCTAAAGTGTAACTATAACAGCTTTATCAGCATTGTAGATGTTTTGACTTCGAATTTATCACGATCCATAACTGTTGTTAAATTATGATTGAAACCATTTACACTGATTTTATTCAAACTGATCGCAATACTTGCTGCTTGTGCTACACAAACTGATAAATCGGAGTTTTTTTTATAAAAGATCGAAACTATTCTTGACCTCAAGTGAAGTTTCTAACTTACGTTGGATGTCTTAAGACAATTAGCAATGGCATACTTAACAGTCAGTACGTACGCAAGATTCCTGAACTATTTCGTAGAAAAATCAAAATACTATTAAAAATGTTATCAAACATTGCTTTATGAAGGAACTCTATTAACGTTGATTTAAATAATAACAAGATCATTAATAACTGATGATATAATAAACAAATCCGTCCTAAAACAAATATTATATTTTTATATTACACTAGCAAAAAGAACAATAAACTGTAAAGGTTACTAGGCATATTAGGAAACAAGGTGTGTGTGAGATATTAACTAAATTCTTCTTTTATTTGAAAGGCTATTATGTATGAAATATGACATCGTTAAAATGTCCGGCGTGGCTTCGCACGGTGGTACGGATTCAAGAGGTCAACTGTTCAATGACTTTGCCACCTAGATGGCTAGATTGGCTGAATTTGAGCGAATGCTTGGATTGTGTTAACTTTGGAGGCATAGGTTTATTGCGACTTATATGCATAGAATTGTGACTTCAGAAAATCCTACAAGAAAATGTCTAAAGGGATCAAATCTTAGTGGCCAACTCACGTTACCTCCACGAGAGATAACCATACCCTCTAATCATTCATGCAGAATATACAATATCAAATCGTTTTCGAAAAAAATACGAACCAACATTTTTGTAGATGCATTGCTCCTAGTGAACCTCATAGATCAGGATTGGTATCGTCCCATATACGGCAATTTTGTTTGATAACATAACCATTCATCGAAAAATGCGCGTCGTCGCTAAAGATGATTTTTCGGCCAAAATTGGTGTTCAAACGATGCAAAGTCCACTCAACGAACAAACTTTGAGCTCCTGGGTCAGTTTAATCTTGTATGGACACATACCTAAGTACCGATGCAAAATTCGCCAAGTAAATGTTTGGGAAAGTTTGGGTTCTTGTGTACGGTGAGCAATCGAGTGCCTCGGGTTCTTTACCGGACAGCGACGATGCCATACTGCTACACCAAACAGAAGTTTACTTCAGTTCTATATCGTTAACTAGTATGCCCAATGATACAGCGGATTTAGTCATTTAAGCAGCACTATTTTCAGTTGCTTTTGGGAATGTGTTGAAGATATCACTTAAATGAAGATAATTTTGGCTATCATTTTCTGCAGTACTCTTGATTTACTTCGGCGTGACTCAGAGTTAACCCCACTTCCAGGGTTAAATCAGTTATTGACATTACTCTAACCTCGATGGTTATCTTTCATGTAATCAGCAATTGAAGGGATTCCACCACGACAGATCACAGATGAAGATCTAAGTATTTAACAGATCGGGAAATCCTCAAGCGCACCAACTCGGCCTAAGCCGAGCTGTGATGCTGAAGTACTTTTAAAGACTTTGAGAATTCTTTAATAACTTCGTGTAAAAAGTATGTTCGCTCCGACTGGAATCTGAATCACAATTACCACTTAAGGTAGCTGCTATAAATATAAACTATCGGAATTTAAAAAAAAAGTATTACTCGAAAAAAGAGATACACTTAGAACAGATTAGGTTATGAAATCATCCCCGCTAGCGAGCTTTCGCCTAAAAGGAGTTCTGGCTTTGATCAGGAATGACAATGATTGTGCACTTTTCAGATTCGGACTCTATAATTATGAAGCGAGACACAAAGCATACACAGACTGTAAAAGACAGGCTATTAGCCAAAAAAATCTGTGAGGAAGGCAAAATACGGTTGAATATGACGTTTGCTGAAAGAGCTATCACAACTAGACCTTGTTCGCTTGAGTCGACGATTGGCCCGTTTCATTTTTAGACCATTAAAAATCTTAGCCGTATCAAATTTCTATAGAATTGTAAGTTGTCACCAGGCAAATTGCTATCTTACCTTACCATCCAAGAAGAGGCAGGTCACTATTTTAAAAAGTGGAGTGGGGATTTATTTATAATTGAATTTTAGAAAATAACTTTAATTGAGAGAGTCTGATAAAAAGAAATACGAAGTTTATGCTGATAGCAGTTATATGATCAACAATATATGTAGATATTTGAGAGGATGCTGGCAGTAGGTGAATGCTTCTCATGCATTCAAAAATCAAGAAATTTAATTTAGATACAATCTCAATCGGAAAAACCAATAAAGTTTGTTAAATTTAATTTGTGATGGTCATCAATCAAACATTGGCATATAAATAGCTAACGATGTGTTAGCTCGATGAGTATCCGTTTTGAAATCTATATTAGCGTTAAAAGTATATTTGTGATAAAATGATCTATATTTCTTATTTCTGCACTCTAACGGCAATGTATCGCATTGTAGTTCTGTGTTTTCAGCACATTGTGATATAGCATATCCTTCATCTCCTCTGAAATTGTGTTGTGTACGGTCTGATACTTCGATATATGCTTCGTCAATTCTTTTGTCATACATTCTGAATGTGAAGAGGAAAGGATGATACTATTAGATTTTCGTCGTTCTATGGCAACAGGTCTGATAAATGAATATACAAATTTACTGCGTCCACGAAAATGTCTTAGCGCAAGTTCACCAGCCCAGTTACCCAAAAGACGAAAGCTATTCTTTTACTGACGACATAAGACTTGGGAACCACGGTTCGCACTAGATTACTTTTGGAAAAGAAAGAGGAAGGTGTGAAAATTGTTCTGCCAAAGCAATTCAGACCAGACCCCACTCAAAATGTACTGCGTGCAATGTTTATTTATGTTATAATGAAAGAAAGAGCTGTTTTTCTGAATATCATAATATAATTTTGGTGAAGCACCTTTACTGACTGTATTTTGATAACGTTTTAATTCTGTCACAAAGTTTTAACATTTTTGACTTCTTAGGACATAAAGTGTTAACGTGACAACACATTTAAACAAATCATTAATTTAAGTAATGCAGAGCAAAACGGGTTAACAACAAAAATATTTAAATATTTGTATCCATTCGCAATCATTTTCAAGGATTTAAAAATTTCTTTAATTATGATCAACCTTGGACTACTTTTTAATAAATTCTAGTTTCTTTTCGAGATTTAAACCAATTTAAAAGTGATCAAGTCAATTAGGTAGCACTGTCTAATAGCACGTTCCGGTTCATTCGAGCTACTAGTTATAATGTTGCAACTTGCAATTTATGGAATGGAATTTTTACTAAGGAGAGACCACCGCGGTTATGTATTATGCAAATTTAATCGCGGTCTCTGTTTGAGAATTTTTAAATTAAACCCAATTTTGAACCTATTTGCCTGCAGGTGATACCCAAAAATACTACCGGGCTGTGATTGCATCTACCTGCAGTATTTCTAAGAATATTGAGATATATTTAGTATTTGAAAAGATGGGGTTAAAAAAGAAAAGATCTAAAATAAATAAAAAGAAACTGTTTGCAGTTTTTCGTCGTTTAATAAATATATATGATTATCGTCCGTTGTGAACCTCTACCTTGAAAAAGAAAATTACCTGTAAACCAGAAGCTATAAATCACACGACCTAAATGTACAAATCTGAATAACTATTGCGTAACGTTGAATAACAGTTCGAGGGCGAGTACAATAGCCTAAAGTACCACAAAAATGGAACATTCTACGCACAACGTGGCAATTCCCCTCCGTTAAACATCGTTATCGTTTCTCTCGTCCAACATATGGTTTTCGTAAAGTAATTTTCGGATAAATTACCGGGCGTGCCCAAATTCGGTTTTGGCAACTCTTGCGAAAATCAATCCACGTAATATTAACCTAAAAGAAAAAAGAATATATTCATTATCGCTGTAACACAGATAAGCAACAAGTATGAAAAAAAAACGGAATTTTGTTGCACCATCTTTCGAGTGTTGAAAGATTGTTGAGGTGAGAAGTGGAGCCGCCGCCGCGCCTTTTTCGGTGAGTGTTTGTCCAAGGGAGTTAAAGTGGTGGGTGTGATGTTTGGCTTTGTTGTTAAAAATCCCCCACGGTATCCTTATCCAACAACGATAGGATATGGCTGACCGTGTTTGTTTTTATTTTCACGCGCCGGTCACAAAAGTCTATTGTGTTCGAAAAGTTCCGCTTCAAGTGCCAACTGTTGAGGGTTCTCAGAATCGCTCGCTAATGAACTTCGAGCAGTACAAATTCTCGATATGGTGAAACTGATAAAGTCGATGTAGAGGAAATAAATATTTTGATTTGTGATACGAGTCCGCTTGGCAAAATAAAGATAGCTACAATAATACGATATTGATGATTACATTAAATGTTTTCTCTACTGGTGTAAATACAGATAACCACTCATTCAGTAACAAATAGTTTCGTTTCTGATGGCTAAGTTATTATTCAGTCACTTTTTCCAACCCGTACCTACATTTTAATCCAAACACAAGCCGAGATTTATCGATAACAACCAATCTACAAACCAAACTTAATCTGACATCAAAATCTCTTATCTTCCAATTCACCCTCGGCTTCTCCATTTAAAACGTGTCCTATCAGATCAAAAACGAGTTCGACTCATTCTTAGGATCGTTATCGCCTACACATTGCCGTTGAGATTTGCGTGCTATTCTCGGACTTAAGATTCATTTTTACGGTCCAGGTGCCAAATTGCCTGATAATTACAATCGTAAAAGAGGAGTTCGTCGACGCCCTGGGGCTTAAGTTCTTTGATGCGGGTTTGCCGATAAGGGCGTAAATAAGAAGCCCCGATGAACGCGGAACGATCCTTTGTGCGCGTTTGACGATTTGATTTACATAACAACGCGCGCACCCTACGAACCCATTTCACGATTATGTAGTTATGCCGGAATGTTTCCGATTTTCAAGCTTGGTTTGACCTCCTCCTCCTTCCTACAAAATTAGGGTCGAATTATGCAGGAGGAGTTTTTGGGAAGTTATAAATGAGCCGGTGGCAACCGGGTGTGAGCTATAGGAGCTGAATACATAATTTATTGTGACTGTGTTTGAAGATATGTTGATGTTTATTGCCGTTTATTAGAAGACATAAAAATATCTGTAATAGCAAAGCTTTTATTCATTTTTTTTGTTTATCACTTCATCTACCACATCATTAAAATATAAAGGACAATGTTACTGTTACAACACGGGAACACTAAATGGCGAAATCTACTGTATGCAAATTCAAAAGAGACCAACCAACCGGGCGGTGATCGTTTTTTTTATTACATCGAGTAGATTTACTCGTTTTGTATTCGAAAGAACAATGGCCCTGTACGCGTGTACGACCGTAAATGTCGCCGTCTGAATAATAATATTAATAACCAACAACGACCACGAAAGAGAAACGGAAACCGGTCGAAGAAAGGAGCGAACCGCCCGAGCAAAACAAAACGATTTGTTGTCGCCACTTTGTCCGTCGCGGCGAACCGCTTCGCACAACGATTGCGAAAGTTTATGATTTAATGATGCGAACGAAAGTTGCCCCCGCATTCGATTTATCGTTCACCTTTTGTGGCACTATCTTTTCCACTCGATTTTCGTAACGATATACATCGTCAGTGTCAATAACAATAATAAAACGAAATAGAGTTAAAGTAGAAATCTCTTTAAATAAATCATTTTAAGACATCCACTTTATAATTCCTCATCCATCTTTGTCTTTTAACATATTCTTAATAAATCAAGATTGTATTTAAAGTGTTCTTTACAAAGTGATCCAATAATTCAACGGTGTTGATGAAGCAACCGTTATTAAATTTGCTATCTGTAACACGTCACAATGAAAGTGCAAATTATTGCTTGTGTGCAAAGAAAAAAGGTTTTTAACGGATTCGAGAACACAAATTGGATGCAAATTTTTTTAGATAAGCTTTAAATTTAATGTGTGTAGTTATACTTTCATAAACCATCAGTTGCATAAATGGATGCAATATTCCAATTTCATACTTGAAGGAAAATTAAAATGTTATCAAATACATTTGCAGATAAGTATGCTGAAACTCTGCAAAATAATCTAATTCATAGAGATTACAAATTTTCAAAGTTTTCGAAAAAATGCAGGCAGATACACTTCCAGTGTGATTAAAGACTTTTTAAGATTGATAAAAAGATGCAAACAACTTGATCTGTATCATGTATTTCTGTATTGGACGTTTTTGAAATTTATAAACAAATAATTCGACAAAGTGCAAATTCTACTCACAATAAGTATCCGTAGACCTGTGACCCCCATCTGTGTTCATTCATATTTACATATAAGAATGTTGTTATGAATAGTTAAAGAGATTAGAATCACTCATAGTTAGAAGATAACTGCTTGATAGCTTGGGTTTTGCGGTAAACGATTTGACATCAACAATTACTTCATGAGCTGAATAAAATGCTACCACCTCTATATGTCTAACTCTTAGAATCCTACCTTACTGGACTAGTAATCAGTGCAGGTTTTCCACAGGGTAGCATTTGGAGATCATCCTTGTACCTGCTTTACTTCTTCTGCTTAAGTTTTACCTTTCGGGACGTCCTCAATTTGTTTATTTCAATAACCAGAGTTCTGATAAAATTACAGTTGATTGCGGAGTTCCATATCGATCTGTATATGGTCCGTTGATGTTTTTAAAATTTTTTAATTAGCAGCGACAATCTAGGCATAGATTGCCTAGCTGCTAGACAATCTTGGCATAGATTGCCTAGCTGCTTACCACATAGCTCAGATGCTATACTTTATGCGAATGACACAGTAACTATAAATACGCGAAGCCTCCTATCTTGCTTTGAATCTAATAATCTTGCGGTGAACGCGACGTCTGAGTCATGGACGTTTACTCCACGGGGAATTCCACCAATTCTCACTCAGCCAGTTAAATATCTGAGAGTGATACTTGATTCCAAGCTAATGAAGGAGGTTCATGTGCTGAGCCTCAAAAAGTTGAATAAGTGTATTTTATAATTACAAATCTGATAAATATAGTACTATTTGACACTTTGATTGTTACTTATTACGGATACTTCTACCAAAAGATATTCTCCGCCATTCTATGTTGGGGTCGCTCTGTTTACTCTGTTCAGGCTTTTCGAATGTAAAAGGAGATGCTTGAAAGTCATGTTTGGTTTACGCTTTGCCGAATGTTGCAGAGCCAAATTCTCTGAACTAATAACGATATTGTAATAAATTTTACACGTACTGTGAGAACTCAGGATGACGTGAATTATTAGCCCGCCAAGCTGTTCAATTTGCTACCCGAGTGTGTCCGTGCTTGATGTCAAGCAGTTTAAAACAAAAATATGGCTCTACCATGAATTTAATGAACAATTTGTTGATAGTTTGAAATCTTGCGTTTTTTGTTGTAACATTTTACAACTTTTATTTTTTGCTTACTTTAGTCAATTGTTTTTATGATGCTTACCTTTTTTTTAGTCCAGATTTCCGTATAAATTTTGTACACTTTTTTGCTGTACTTTTACTTTATGCTATATGTACCATGTGACGAGTGTAAGATAAGTTTTTCTTAACCCTCCGCATACGAGGTGAGTGAATCTCACATGCCATACTAAGTAGGTGGGAAACAAGTTGTTTCTGAAGAAAGAGACGCACGGTTTGACCCTGACATGTTTTAGTTCTATTTTTAGTTTAATCAACACCGGCCGTGAAAGGTTTCGTACTTATAGAAATCTATTAATCTATATACAGGTTGATTTATAACCTACTGAACAGACTAAAAGGGTAGGTACTAGAGGTAAAACTGAAGAGATTTTCTTAATAATGTTTTGTTAAAAACTTAATAGTTACATAGACATCGCATGTTAATTTGTTAAATAATTCAGTGTCCATTTTTGAGAACCGCTGATATTCAGTAAAGAACAATTAAAATACTTGTCAATGCCATTCTCATTTTTGAAGGAGCTGTAAAACTAGACAATTTATTATTTCAGTAGTTTTGTTATTTTAGATACGTAATTTGTTAAAAGAAATAATAGATGTTAATTTATGAAACGTCTAATAATAATGTTTTAAATGCAAAATCTCTGAAACAATTATTTAGCTACTGTAAAATTGCAGCCGCAAAGAATAATCAGCGGGAGTCAGTCCTTGCACCTTTTGCAAATGGTACGGGTATCCATGTAGGGGTAGCAGTGTACGCCAAACAAAGTTCTGGGAAACTTCGAGTTGGTGAGAAGTTTGACGAGTACTACTACTTGCATCTGCATCAACAATTTCTAGAACTTCTTCTTAGGTTGTCTCTCTTTCTCGCTGTACTAAAAAGTGTTTTCAGAAGGCATCTGTCGATTTGGAAATCGTTTCAAATACAGATTTCTTGAATGTGCAGCGTTTTCGCCAGCATTGTACTTTTTGATTTGTAATAGTTCTAATTTTGACGGTAAATGACATTGTTTATTAACTGTTAAATGACATATCCGCTGCTAAGTAACCAAGTCAACTGGATTGGCAGCAATAACTACATGGTATCAGCGGTTGTCAACAAAAAAACACCAGCTTTTGAGCGTTTTAACAAATTTTTAAATAGCCGTAACTGCTATATTACAAAGATTTTATTATTTTTGTTAATTATGCATTGTTTAAGTAACCCCGAAATATTCGCAGTTTGAATTTAAACGTAATGTAATACCGTATATTGTAAGAAATGTTCGGCCATTAATTCAACTTTAACGTTCTATATTTTTGTGATTATTAAGTTGTGGTCAAAACATTATTAAGAAAATATCTTCAATTTGGCTCCTAGTACCTACCCTTTTAGTCTGCTCCGTATGTTATAAATCATCCTGTATGTGACTTGCGCAAACAAGACGTCATAATTAACATTTACTGATTACACCGCAATAGTAGCTACTGGATTAACAGTACAAAAAGCAACATTAAGTTACAGAAAGCTAGACATAGTCCAACCGTGGATATAAAAAAATTGGAAAATCAGGGTAAATGAGCTGAAGATTTCACACGCAAAATTCACATGTTGTAAAATGGACGTAACGCTTTCAGTGCACATAAATGGTGTTATAGTTTCGTATGCTAACACCGCAGAATATCTAGGTATGACTTTGGACTACAAGGTTCAAATGGAAGGAACATCTAAAGAAAAACACGTAGAATCAGGCTTCAAAGTACGACAACTGTATTGGCTC